TGTGATCTCTGTCTGTCAAATAAAATCTTTAAAAAAAAAAAAAAAAGAATTTGCACTCCTGGAGGCGAGGCTCAACCCTGGGCAGGCCAGGGGGGCGGCCTGTAAACAACCCACATTCTGGCTACTCAGCTGTGGCAGTCCTGGGTTTCCAGCCTGGGCACTGTGGACATTTGGAGCTGGGTTAGTCTGCCATGGGACGTCCTATGCTCTGTGGATACTGGCCAGCATCCTGGCCCCCACCACTAGATGCCCGTAGCATCCCCCAGTTGTGACAGAAGTATGTGCAGACACGGCAAAATGTCCCCTAAACCCGGGGTTCCCATAGTTGGCTACAGAGCAGAGCGACCGGGGAGGTCTGTAAAAAGACCACAGCATCAGAGTCCCTGGGGAGAAGCCCTCACAGTATTTGCAACGTCCACAGGATATTGGTTGATCAACTTCAGAAAAAAAACCACTTAATCATATACCTTGAAAGGGTGAACTTTAGAGAATGTCAACTGTATGTTAAAGCTGAACTCACACAGCTCCCAGGTGATTGTGAGGCAGGAGCGGGACGCGCGCTTCCCAGCGGCCAGGAGCCACCAGACTCATGACCCCGAACTTGGAGAGCATAAGGGTCCCCTGGGTGCTTGAGGCAACTGCTCTGGAAGAGGGCCCAGGAATCTGATTTTTTGTCATTGCCCCAACCAAGGTGGGAACCCAAGCCAGAGCCGGCGCTGGGGCCTCTCTGAACTTACCAGCACATGCAGAGGCCCTGCCAGGTGTACTGGGAACCCCTGGTCTGAGCATCTCACTGTCAAGGGAAAGGCTGCAAAAGCAGGCCAGACAAACTCGAGGGGGAGCCAGAGCTGGGAGCCTTCCTCAATTCCCTAAGGGTGAAAGTTCAGAAGCGAAGCTGGAGTTAGTAACGGTCTCTCACATGTTCAAGTCTAAACTGGCTGGAAGGCAGAGGGGCTGGTGCAGGAACAGAAGGGAACAGACACCACCATCCTCAGCTGGCCTTCGTCTCCGCGCCTCCTGGGAGCTGTCCCAGCGGCACACATGGGAAACTGGCCTTGTTACCTCAAAGCCCAGCGTCTTCTGGGCATGGTCACCCCTTACCTGCCTGCCACACTTGAGCGCAAATGACCGTTTCCAAAGTTCTGCTCTAAACGCCATCTGCATCTACGACCTTGCTAGGATGCTGGGAGCTCTGTCTCATTTCTGAAGGGCGGACGTTGCAGCATGTGGGGTGAAGGTCCGGCTTAACCAGGTGACAGGCAGTGGGTGTGCCTTTCTGGTCTGCTGTTACAAAACCTGGGAATGCTAACGGGGGTTTGCAAACTCCTAGTGCCCCGATGTGCTTCTTGACTGGCGTGACATGCTGCTTGGCTCGCAGGACGTGCCATGTGTTCCTGAATGGCCTGCCAACATTTTAAAATCAGGAGAGTTTGTGGGAGAAGAGTTCCTTCTGGCTCACCTCGGATGTTTGCCACGGCTGGCCCGGGTTCCTGCAAGGCCGCCACTGGCTGAAGCGGAGCCTCCCAGCGGGCCACAGCCAGCCTGGCCCTCGTCAGCCAGTCCACTCCACTGGCCGCAGACGTGTGTGTACAATTCCTGTATCCAAATCAGTTACAGTCTGGAGAGAATCTTGTTTTTCACCAGGAAGAGCTTCCCAAGTAAAAGGCCGGCTCTGTGGGGCAGACGGGGGCACCTGGTGGATGAATGGAGACTAAAACGCTTGCTGTGGGCAGGCGGGGCTCCTCCTCCAGACCGCTTTCAAAAGAGAAGGGCTTGTTCTCCAAGATTCTCTCGGATGAAGGGGACACTCCCAGGGCCACTAAGGGTCCCAGGGTCTGTCCAGGGCTCTCTGAGAACACCCTGTGGCTGGTGACGGAAAACCACGCTGTCCCCAAGGCCAGCCCCCAAACCCGGCAGTGGGCAGGGCCACCAAGGCTCTGGAAGTCTCTGAGGGGCTTTCATAGCAGGACTCATCTGAGGACAGTCTGCTTACTTCCCAGGGTCAGTGTTGGGGAGGCCGCCTGGGCTGGACAAAGGAGAGCTTCGGAGGCAAGGCTATTTCCAATTCCTGCGTTTGGAAGTCTCTCCAGCTGCTTAGCCATGGCTTCTGTTTGGGCAATTAATGTGTTTCAGGTGTGCCTTAGAATGACTCCACTCTTTCAGGGGTGAGGGGCGCCGGGTCCTCTCACACCCCATTCCAGGATGGCTGAGGCCATGTCACTGGTGCAGCCTGAGATGCGGGGAGGCTGCTGGCAGAGTTCTCTGCTTTCCGAGGCCACTTCTCCTCTCCTGGGAAACAACAGCTACACATACTGGTCGGGTGGTTTCCTGGGGATCATGGTGATGCCATGAGCCAGGCAGACTGAGATGGTTGGTCACCTTACCCCCTGTCCAGCCCAGCACTGCCGCTGTGTCGCAGGCCAGGAGCCATGTCCCCCTGGCAGAGGAGGAGGCTGGACCCAGGGACTTCTGAAATTCCCACTCTGCGGACCCTATCCTGGTTCTGTCTGCTCCCCAAACACCTTTCCCTGCTGAGGCACCTGCCTGGGGGTCGGGGTGGCCCCTCCCTCCAAGCTTCCTGTAGGCCCCACCCTCTTGGGCTGGAATCTGGAGGAGCAAGGATTCTGCCTGCAGTTCCCATCTGGGGTCAGGCCAAACCTGGCTTGTTCCCCGGCAGCTTTGAGGGGCAAGTGGGGATGGATAGGAGGGTCTGAGAATCGAGCCTGGGTGTGTGTGGGTGCCCGAGGGTGGGGACTGCAAGGACAAGCCTGGCATGGGATGCCTTTCTGGAACCGGGTCACACCTCCCTTTCCTGCTTGCTGTGGGAGATGATGGAAGTTGGGACCCTCATACCCATGTACGGCACCCAAGGAGGATAACTCCTTGGGGGGGCTGGAGAGCTGAGGCCTCCCTGAGCAAACTGGACAGGTCACACCACCACCCCTGCCCAGACCCCCTATCTTCCCAGAACACAGGGCTAAGGCACCTCGGCACACTTTGCCATCATGGAAAATGTAGCGGACGCAAGAAGGTTTGCTGTTGATTCTCTCCTGGGACTCCTGGGAACTCACAGTGGTTCTGGCTGGTGGCTCTGGGAGGCTGACCCTGGGGTGGGGGCCTGAGTAGGGACCAGCAGGTCCACGCACCCATGTGGGCAGACAAGGCCACCCTCTAAAGAGAGCGCCAGGCCGGTCACCCTCATCCACAGTAAAAAAAGTGAAAGATTTTATTCTGGGAGAAGTTGCCAAAAATACTCATCTGTGATATAGGGGTGGGTTGGGGTCCAGAGCTGCACCAGCCAGTGCCTGCTAAGGCATCTTGAACTGGTAAGTCGCCTGGGTCAGGAAAAGCTTGGCCTCATTTAGACACAGTCCTTGGAGAAAAAAAAGAGAAGTCAGGATCTGGGAGTGGTCACAGATGAGGAGCTGGGGAAAGGGCCAGGAGACCATTAGGAAGGGGGTAGGCATGCAGTGTTCCCAGACTCTGATGGCTGCCAGGCCAGGGGATCCTCCCCCATGCCAGCCCCCTGGGCAGCTCACACCATCCCCCAACTTCCTTACCCATCTGGCAGTCCCAGGGGCCCCTAGTGGATGTTGGGGCTGAGGGGAGCCATGTCCCAAAAACATGCAGAGCAAAATTTTTTAGACTATGTGTAATGTGGTCGACATGTCAGAAGTACAAGAAGCACAGAGGACACAACTAGACAGAGCCGGGAATGGAAAGGAAGAGGGAGAGAAGTTGACAGGGAGAAGGAGTGAGGAACCAGCTGCCTAAGGGGAAGAAATCAGGCAGGCGTGCACGGTGGCAGCTGCTCGCTAAATGTCCAGATCAGGACATTACGACCTCCTGGTCTGCTCTTTGTTCCACCAAGTGCACGGGCAGTTAGCACAGGAACCAGGAGGACATCAAACAGGGGTGCAGGATTCCAGCCCTCGGTGGGAGAGAGCAGTCCCAGAATGTTCCAGGGCCGTTGCTCATGGGTTGGCCAAAGAAGTAAATATAAACAACCAGGTTTTAAAAATATCCAATTCATAACCATAATTACTGGTGGGAATAATCAACATGAAGTAAAAAAAAAAAGGATGCACACAGTAAAATTTGTTTCCCGTGAGAAAACTGGTCTTGTTAGAAATAACGGCCCCCAAAGAAAATGTCCGTGGGGAGTGTCTGGGTGGCCCCTGGGTGGCTCAGTGGGTTAAGCCTCTGCCTTCCGCTCAAGTCATGATCTCAGGGTCCTGGGATCGAGACCCGCATCGGGCTCTCTGCCGGGCAGGGAGCCTGCTTCCCCCTCTCACGCTGCCTCTCTGCCTACTTGTGATCTCTCTCTCTCTGTCAAATAAATAAATAAAATCTTTTAAGAAAGAAAGAAAGAGGGGCGCCTGGGTGGCTCAGTGGGTTAAGCCGCTGCCTTCGGCTCAGGTCATGATCCCAGGTCCTGGGTTCAGGCCCCACATCCGGCTTTCTGCTCAGCAGGGAGCCTCCTTCCTCCTCTCTCTCTGCCTGCCTCCCTGCCTACTTGTGATTTCTCTCTGTCAAATAAATAAATAAAATCTTTAAAAAAAAAAAAAAGAAAGAAAGAAAGAAAGAGAGAAAGAAAATATTAAAAAAAGAAAAAAGAAAAAAGTTGTAAAGAAAGAAAACGCCCGTGGGCAGTAGTAATTGGAACTAATTATGATAGAGTCATTTCAGCAAAAATAAAAAGGAAAGTGTTTTTAAAAACCAGTTAGCTGTTGTATTGAAATTTGGTCAAGGAATTATATTGGCTTAGTGGAAAATTCAATCTAGAAAGCTATGTACTCCAGGAAGGGTAGGATAAGAAGGATTGTGTTGTGCGTATTTACATGCATAGAGTTAAAATAGCCACTGGGTCAAAATGAGTCCCTTATGGAGGCCCCTCCCCCAGGTGCAGGCATGCGCCTCCACCCCCTACCCCCCACCCCAGGCCAAACTCTCTCCGGGCAGGGGGAGAGGAGGGGAGGTAGGGGTGCCGGACACCAGGCTCACGGATTGGTGGGCTCCTCGGAGGCCTGCATGCTGGCTCGGGACTCGAGACGCAGAAGTCTCGGGTGCCGGGTGGGCCCTGGGGCCTGCTGGGTGTCCCTTGGGGGTGGCGTCAGTGGCGGGAGCAGTGGCAGGGGCGGCAGCGATGGAGGCCGAGCTGGCATCACAGGCGGGGGCCTGGAGGCAGCCGAGCGCACCCTGGCGTGGGGGTGCTGGGCTGGGAGAGGCAGGAAAGTCGGTGATGTGTCCCAGGAACATGCTCCAGGAGGCTGGCAGGTGGGGTCCTACTTACTAAGGAGCTAGTCCCAGGCACCCTAAACTTCCCCGGGGGGTGACCCCAAATAAATGACAGAAACGGACGCTGAACCGGACATGGATCTGGAGTCCAGGATTGGGGAGGGGGTGCTGTGCCCAGCTCCACACCGTCCGCCCGCAGAGCGGGGCTGAGGATTGCAAGGGCTGACAAGGGAGAAATTGCATGGGTGACCGCGCCCGCAGATCCCTGGTGCATGGCGAGAGGAATCCGAGGGGTACCCCCAGCCTGGCTCATGGGGCCCCAGGCAGATAGGCCCTGGAGAACGAATAGGCTCCCTATCCCACCCCTGCAGCTAGTTAGACACCTGCGGACAGACCCTGGGCCTCGGTCTCTGGGATTGGCACCGGGGCCAGGAAACCCCGCTGAAGGGCAAACTAGGGACCCAGGATGGCTGGAGGCCATGGCCAGGAAGCCGGGTGCTAGGTGGGGGTCACTCAAGGGGCCTACTCAGGCCCTGACACAGAGCAGGGGAGAGACGCAAGCGATGGGGCAGGAGAGCGCCAGGCTGGGACTGGGGGGCACCGGAGACCTGCCAGAACCCCAGCTGGGCCAGGGAGTTAGGAGGGCAGATACTCACGGGGGTAGATGGGACCATAAAAGGTACTCGGGCGTTCACGATCATACAGGTTGCGAGTTGGGGGGTGTGGAACCTTCACAGCTTCGTGGAAAAGAAACAGGAAGAGACAGTGCCGGTGAGGGGTCAGCTCTTGCAGAGTTCGCCCCCCCCCGCCCCCCCCCCCCCCCCCCCCCCCACCCCCCCCCCCCGTGACCCCCCCCCCCCCCTGCATCCCCCAGGCCCCGCCCCTCCTGCAAACGCCCTCCCACGGTTCCCCAGACCCGCCCCGCCTCCTCCACACACGCACCTGCCGCTCTGCCCCTGGGGAAGCCTCCCCCTCCCACCTTCTTGAGTCTAGAGTTTCTCAAGGCATAGATACTCCGGCTGGGGCCAGACCGCTACTGTGTCCCCGCCCCGACCTTCCGGTCCCTCATCGGGGGTGTATGAATTTTTTTCTTTGAAGTAAAATTCATATTCCACAAAATTAACCATTTATTTATCGATTTTTAAGATTTATTGATTTGACAGACAGAGAGAGCACAAGCAGGGCGAGCAGCAGAGGGAAAGGGAGAAGCAGGCTCCTCGCTGAGCAAGGAGCCTGATTCGGGGCTCGATCCCAAAGCCCCAGGATTATGACCCCAGCTGAAGGCAGACTGAACCACCCAGGCGGCCCACCATTTATTTAAAAAAAAAATTTTTTTTTTGAGTAATCTCTATGCCCAACATGGAGTTCGAACTCACAACCCCGATATCAAGAGTCACATGCTCCACCAACTGAACCAGCCAGGAACCCCACAAAATTCACCATTTAAAGCAAACAATTCAGTGACATTAAGTTCATTCACAGTGGTGGGCACACACCACCTCTACCTAATTCTAGAACATTTCATGCCCCCCAAGAAAAACCCTGTGCCCACGAAGCACTCCTTCCCTGTTCCCCCCTGCCCCTAGACCCTAGTGGTGAGGAACTTGCTCTTTGTCTCTGCAAACCAGGCCTGTTCTGGACCCTTCACAGACCCAGGGCAGTGCAACATCTGACCTCTTGGGTCTGGCTCCGAACTTCATGCTTGAACCCAAGGCATCGCCTTTCTCCGTGTCCAGCCAAGAATCCACGACTGGTCCCCCAAACCAACGTGTGCACAAGAAGAGGGGAGTCCACGGGGGGAAGGGGAGGCTGTAAGAGTGAAGACGCAGGGGAGGGCCCAGGCCTGGCCCCTCGGGAAGAGTTATGGGGGCACCAAGCTCCTTCCAGTAAAGGACACGGGATGGTTCCTTCTGCCTGGAGACGGTGTCCTTCCCGGGGTGTCCTGACAATTCCCTCTTTGAATGTCCTTTCTTAAATAAATATTTATTTATATCTCATGGTCCCTCGTGGAGTAAAAACCCTAAGGGGGCGGCAACTTCATTTTGTCCACGTCGGGTGTCCCCAGTGCTATCCACAGAACACGCAGCACCAGCAAGGGCTGTAAGGGAGTGACCAGCCGACAGACCAGGGCCCTGAGGCAGCGGGGCCAGCAATGTGGAGTCTCCCTTCTAAGAAAGAGCTCACCGTCAGCTGCAGGAGTGAAGGTAGCCCGTAGACTCTGCGTGCTGCCGCCTCAGGGCTGTTGTCGGCTCACCGCCTGGCCAGGGCTGGGGAGTGTTGGCTCAGAAGCGCCCCCACCAGGCTGGCCTGGACAGTACCAGGTCTGCTTACTATCTGAGGGTCTCTGCTGGCTCCCTCCAATTCCTCCCTGCTCTCTGTTACCCCCAGCCCCCGCCAGCCCAAACCTCTTGCATTCCTAATTCTGTCTCAAGGTCTCCATCACCCATTTCTTGAGCCTGAATGAAGATCTAGCTCCAGTGTACTTCATGGGTTCTGGGTAAGATCAAATGCCCAGTGGAGGGGTACCCTGAGGCCCCCGCTCTGATCACCAGGTGGCACTTGGATCCCTCCACAGGTCTGAGAGTGTCTCACTGCTTCCCTGCCGGGGGAGGGATGTGGGCCCAGGGCAAAGGTTCAAAATCGAGACCCAGTGAGCCTTGGAAGCCTAGCTCTGACCTAACGCTCTCCCTGAGGTCCCACCGATGCCTTGGACTCTAAAGGTCAGAACCCGAACTCGCCACCTGACCCAGACACCTGCTCCTCCTAAGCCCTCTTCTGTGGCTTCCCCACCTCTGCAGAAGCCAGAAGCCAAGGAGCTGGGAGCCTCTCAAAGGAAGGGGACCTTAAGCTCTGGCAGATGAGAATGGTTCCCCCAGGGCTTCAAGGCAGGCACAAAGCACGGAGAGAGCCCCAGGGGTGGGAGACAGCCAGGCTCACTGACAGACGGACAAACAGTTCTGAGAGGCTGGGGACAGGGGCAGACAGGGGACACGTCATCCGCTGCCCCCCACCCCTGCCATACACACACACCAGATTGGCCAAGGAGCCTGGACTTGGAGCACGATGCCCCTGAGATGCCCCAGTCCTAACCCTTAGAACCTAGGATCCTGAATCATCCAGATGGCCCAGTGTAATCACAAGGCTCTGAAGAGGGAGGCTGGAGAGTCAGAGTCAGAGAAGGGGAGGTGAGGACAGAAGTGAGGTCCGAGCGAGGCATCTTGAGCTGGAGGAAGAGGCAAGGAACGCAGGAGGCTTCTGGCAGGTGGAAATGGGGAGGAAACAGAGTCTCCCCTAGAGCCAGCCCACTGCTGGAGCCGAGGATTGGGGTTCCCCATAGGAACCAGCTGGAATGAGGGTCTTGATGCTGTAGCAAACCGAATGACTGATTCCAAATGTCCCCACTAACCCAACTATCACCTACCTGGGACAGTAAGACAGTAAGGCCTCCAGGGTCTGTCCACATCCCTTCATCATTCCCAACCCCTTCCCAAGCTTCACCAAAAGCAGACTCACCTTTCTGAGTTCCAAGTGTGCCTGACTTCCAGCCACCACAGGATCTTTGCACCTGTTATGCCCTCCACCTGGACTGCTCTCTTTCCAACTGTCCCCTTGATCCAACTGTCCCCTATTCCATCATCAGAGGCCTCTCCTTGGACTGATGTTCTTCTCACAACTCTCCCATCCCCAGCCCAGCATCCCTCCTTCATGAGGCCATCTGGCACCCCTGCCTAGGCCAGCATCCTTTGTCTCCAGGGTCCTCCCCTCAGGTCAGCTATTCACTGGTATTCCAAACAACAGGTCCTCACCTTCAGGTTATTTGCTTACAGTCTGCTTCTCCCACTTGTGTGGAAACCCTGGGGTGAAAGCCCATCTTTCTTTGCTCTACCTTTGCCACCTGACTGGTACAGTGCCTGGCATACAGTAGAACCCCATTTCTGCAACCCCATTTCTGCATCTGTGTAAGGATGTCTCAGTCTGGGATGGGGCCAGCTCTGAGCCCTGCCTGCACCTCCTCAGACTCCCCAGCAAAGCCAGGACATCTAGGACAGGGGCTCCCAGGAAGTCCTGACTCCTCTCACCTGCCAGCTCCTTCTCAATGCTGGTCAAAGGCCGTGCCCCATCCTGGCTGGTCATTCGGCCCTTGTACAGTATGCCGTCCACTCCCAGAATGTCCACCTCGGCCTGTTAGATGGCCCAGACCCCAAATCAGGGAGTGTCCTCCCCTGCCTCTCTAGTACATACAGGGGCTCAGCAGACAGAGCACGGTGCCCCCATGGCTCGCCCACACCCAGGGTGTTTGCCATACTCACGGTGTCATAGTCCAATACTTCGGGGTCCCCGTAGGGGTAGAGTGTTGACAAGTCATAGGAGTTGAACTTGAGGCTGGCATTGCCAGGGCCATCTCCCCAGTCCTTCGGGGACCCCAGTGAATCCAGATTCCTGTCCTGGTCTCCAAGGTCCTGGAGCTGCTGTAGCTGCCGGTGTTCCCTGAGGTAGGCAGATAGGACAGCAGCCGCTGGGAGAACCCCCAGGGATGGACCCAAGGGCCTGCCCAGTGGCAATGTAAGACTGGCATTTCTTCCAGCTTGACTTTGTGGGGGGCACTTTGGGCTGGCAGGTGGATACGGACAGGCATAGTTGGGACAGAGGGGAAAAACCAAGGCTATGCTCCCCCAGATCCAGCCACCCCTGGGGACCCCAGTCTGGCCCAACAGAAGGCTTTTAACCTATGATCTCAAGGAGGAGCCAGGCATAGGAAGGTGGGGTGCAGGCCCAGGCCCCCATGGCTCTCCCCTTTATGTGGCTGCGATGCTAGTCAGCCATCATCCCCCGACCTGGCCAGAAGGACCTCAGGCCAGGGTGCATGAGGCAGCCGCAGAGGGTGGGATGTCAGGAGGTCGAGGGTGGGACCGGGACCCAGGGAGCCCACCAGGTGCTCTGGGAAAATGCAGGTATGGGCAACCAGCTCTGCCACTTACCATTTGTGACCTTGGGCAGGGGGCGGAAGTTCTCTGAAACTTAGGTCCTTCAACTACAAAACCTGGCCATGACAGAATACACCTCAGGGGGAAGGCTGAAGGATTCACCGAGGGTGGCTGGGGCAAAGTGCTCAGCGCAGTGAGGCCAGGGGCCCTTGCTTACTTCCTCCTGCTGGAAGCGGGCACATCCAGCCTAGCTCACAGCAGTGGTGAGATTTCAATGAGAATCCTTCCCTCTCCCGGGCCACCTACTGCCCCAGCCCCCTCCCCAAACAGCCCCCTTGCAGATGGCCGGCAATGCCCTGGGACCAGAGCCGGGCTCTCTGCAGGGCTGCGGCTCCTGCGGGCCCCTGGGCCAGGCCCCCAGCCCACTCACCTCATCTGCTGCTGCTGCAGGTACTCATAGGTATTGGCGCTGGCTGGCCGCAGCCTCGAAAGCAGGTGGGCTTTACGGATGGTGATGAGCTGCCTGTTGGAGGACAAGAGTTCCGTGGGAGGCGCAAGTGGCCAGCAGACAGCCCCAGGCTCCCTCCTCCTCCAGGAAGTCCACCACCCTTCACCCCATCCTTCTCTCTGGAGATGTCCACGTCGCCGCTGGGCTCAGGGCTCAGAAAAGTCCCAGTAATCTTCGACCATCATAAAGAACAACCCCGTTCTGAGTATAAAACTAAAAGCCAGAGCAGACGAATCCTAAAAACAGAAGGAGTGCAGACCTGAGCTTGCCAGGGGCTGGGGGAGGGCCTAGGGAGTGGCCGCAGATGGGGCTGGGGTTTCCTTCTGGAAAGCTGGTGAAAACGCTCTGGCCCTAGAAGTGGGGCGGGGTGGGGTGGGGGTTGCACAATATGGTCAATGCCCCTGGCCTGCCCATTTAAAATGGTCGATTGTGTTCTGTGTATTTCACATCCACAAAAAAGAAAAAGGAAATATCATCTCTGAGCAGTAGGAACTGCTGTACACATTGAGCTGAGAGGTGGTTATAAAGGTGTGCACATGTGTAGAAATCATCAGTTTGCACCGTAAATATTTACATGCTTTACATATTATTTAAGCCACAATAAAACGTTAAGGTGATACATATTGTCAGCATTTTAAAAAATGACAGAGAAGCACAAACACAAAAAGCTCTATAACCATGTGACAAATATTTTCATATGTGTCCTTCCACTAATTTTCTGTGTTTATGTATTTTTTAAAAAGATTTTATTTATTTGACAGACAGAGATCACAAGTAGGCAGAGAGGCAGGCAGAGAGAGGGGGAAGCATGCTCCTCGCTGAGCAGAGAGCCTGATGAAGGGCTCGATCCCAGGACCCCGGGATCAAGACCCGAGCTGAAGGCAGAGGCTTTAACCCACTGAGCCACCCAGGTGGCCCTGTATTTTTTTTTTTAACAAAAATAGGATCATGGGCAACACCTTCGGGTCCTCTCCCTCCTTGGGAGCTTTGTGTTATCACTTTGCTACTGCTCAGTAAACCTTGCTAAAAAACAAAACAAAAATAGGATCATAACACACAAACTACTTGATTTTCTCATTTAAGTTATTGTGAACAATCTTCGAGGCCATTAAATAACTCTTCCGTGACTGTGCCGTCCAATAGGACAACCACTGGACACGGGTGGCTATTTAAATTTATGGTTAAATTCAAATAAATTTAAAATTATGGTTATATTTAAATAAATTTATAGTTAGATTTAAATAAATTTAAATAAGATGTAAAATTCTGGGGGCACCTGGGTGGCTCAGTGGGTTAAGCCTCTGCCTTTGGCTCAGGTCATGATCTCTGGGTCCTGGGATCGAGCCCTTCATCAGGCTCTCTGCTCAGCGAGGAGCATGCTTCCCCTCTCTGTGCCTGCCTCTCTGCCTACATGTGATCTCTCTCTGTGTGTGTCAAATAAATAAATAATCTTTAAAAAGAAAAAAAAAAGATGTAAAATTCCGTTCTCAGCCACATTAGCCCTGTGTGGCCGGCGGCTGCTGCATTGGACGGTATAGCTGTAACCATTTCCAGATAAGAAGGTTCCGTTATACCTCCTTCTACAACATGACTTACATTGGCTTATGTGAATGTATGTAACTCATTCACCGCTTCACGTTGTTTCCTTTTCTTCTTTTAAAAATATTATAAATAAAAAAAAAAAAAAAAAATATTATAAATAGGGGCTCCTGAGTGGCTCAGTCGTTAAGCATCTGCCTTTGGCTCAGGTCATGATCCCAGGGTCCTGGAATGGAGCCCTGCAAGGTCCTGGGATTGAGCCCTGCATGGGGCTCTCTGCTCAGCTGGGAGCCTGTTTCCCTCTCTCTCTGCCTGCCTCTCTGCCTACTTGTGATCTCTGTCAAATAAATAAGTTAAATCTTTGGGGAAAAAAAAGATTTTATTTATTTATTTGACAGAGAGAAATCACAAGTAGGCAG